CCAAAACGGCTTTCAGCTGGTCTGGACGGACCTCAAACCCCCAGACGTCTTTGAAAACACGCTTGACTCTGTCTTCCATGTCGGTCCCGTCCGTTAGACATTCAAACTGAGTTGAACGGAAACAGGCGAGTAACGGAAAATCGCCAGGCCGTGTCGCCAGCCGGAAGTTGGAATTTTGGTTTCCCTGGCCGGGAGGGCGTAATTCACACCTACGCGCCAAGTGAAGTCGCCACTACTTGTTAAGTGAGGTTTGATAGGGTAACAAATAGCTGTTAATAGCCTTTGCGGTTGCGACTCGGGGCAGAGGTTGGGTGGGGGGCGACAAAAAAAAACGAGGCATATATAAAACGGTGACGATCTTCCCCCACCAACCTCTGCTTGGAGAGTACAAATTTGTAACACGGGAAACATCTCTATAAAGAAACAACTACTACACCATCTTCCACTAACAAAATGGCTCTCCATGCCAAATATGGTCACAGTACAAGTAGCAAACAACAAAACTTTCTCATTCAAAACCCCCGCCGTAATAAAAGAAAGGAAAACACACCTGTTCTCATAGTCGTTGATAGCTGAGTTAAATATGGCCCTATTGTTTTCGTCGTCTCTCTTGTTGGTGGTGTTGTTGTTGTTGGCTCAGTTGATGTTATGGGTGACTCAGTTGTGCGAAGCTCAATTGATGTTGTGGGCAGCGTAGTAAGTGATGGATTTTGTACTGCAGTCATGTTTGCTGCTATGGTCGTCATTGCAGCTGCAGCGGTCGGTTCGGTAGTCATTGCAGCTGCAGCGGTCGTTTCGGTAGTCATTACGGCTGCAGCGGTCGGTTTTTTAGTCATTGCAGCAGCAGCGGTCGGTTCGGTAGTCACTGCGGCTGCAGTGGTCGGTTTCGTAGTTATTGCCCCTGCAGCGGTCGGTTCGGTAGTCATTGCCGCAGCAGTATTTTGTTTGGTAGTCATTGCCGCTGCAGTGGTCGGTTCGGTAGTCATTGCCGCTGCAGTGGTCGGTTCGGTAGTTATTGCCGCTGCAGCGGTCGGTTCGGTAGTCGTGGCCGCTGCAGTGCTTGGCTTCGTAGTCATGGCCTCTGCAGTGGTCGGTTCGGTAGTCATTGCCGCTGCAACGGTTGGCTTCGTAGTCATCGCCGCTGCAGCGGTTGGTTCGGTAGTTATTGTCCCTGCAGGGGTCGGATCGGTATTTATCGCCCCTGCAGCGGTCGGTTCGGCAGTTCTTGTCGCTGCAGCGGCCGGGTCGTTAGTTATTGCCGCTGTAGGGGTCTGTTCGATAGTCATTGCCGCTGCAGTGGTCTGTGCAGGAGTCATTGCTGCAGTTGTAGTTGTTTCCGCTGCTGTTGCCGTTGGTCCTACTTTCGTCGCAGCCATTGCTGTTGCCGGCGTTACTGTTGTGGTTGTTATTGCCAAAGTGGTCGTTGTCGGTGCATGAGACATTTCAGCTGCTAGAATGATTTGTTCATAATGCATTTTACGAGTACTTTTTATATGCCAGTAGAATCTTGAGGCTGGGAATGGGACTGGTGAGGTGAGGTGAGAATCATTTGCTTGTCGAGTATACCGCGTTTGACATTTACAGCGATGGTTTGTAATACATTTTTTTTGCAAATGTCGTACTGGAAAGTGCTAGTGACTTAGAATAGCAAACCTAGCAGAGGCATAGACGCATTACAGTGGGATTCTTTTTTTTTTGTAAATTGGCCTTCTCCCCTTATGTTGCTACATTTCTAAATGACGTTCAAATCTTGTTTACCTATGCCTACATTGGAATAAAGTGCAGAATGTAATAACTGCGAAGTAACTAGTGGACAGAAATATGAATGATGAGGGAGACGAAATAAAAAAAGTATCACTAAAACTTATTGATATTGATATTTTCGTTTGTTTTTATTGAAAGCTCAGACTAAATGTTATAGATTACGTACCATGAATGGCGAACAGCAACATCACCAATTTCAGAGGTAGTAATGCTGTAGCCATCTTCTTGTCTGTGGTATGTGGTGTTTGAATGTTTCGTTTACTGTCCCACAGGCCTCATGGCCGTCAACATTAGGCCTGGAAGAAAGAATATAACAACAACTTAAAAAGCTCTTTATCTTCAAAACTTAGCGAAACATGCCTTAATGTCACATGTTTCTGCGTCTGTCTTGGAGTTGTTTGATAACAAGCAACTAGTTAGTGCTAAAGAGAACTTCTTAAAGTGGAAGCCGACGGGTTTAACGTTATCTAGACTGAGCTTTTTTTTAATCGTGGGACTGAGGGGTTGGGGGCTAATTAGAGGTTCTCTAAGCAGATATTAGGTGGCGCGGCCGTTTTGCATAATGGTTGCGAGTATCTTTTGGGATTGTGGTTTGGACCTACTGCGATACCTTGTCAAATGAATAATATGTAGTAAATGAAAGATATTGTTATAAAAGTTGACTTTGTTCATCTATTTAGATTGTAGTGTTGTTTGCAACTGTTTCCCCAAGGCTAGGGGGCTGCAAACCTCTGGGCAGGTGGCCACCAGGAGCGCGATTTATTTTTAGTCATGCTAGATTATTAGACTAGGGATTTAGCCATTTTTACGATACGTTGTTACCAGTTGTTAAGTGATTACACACTATTTACATACACTATACTGTTCTCAATCTGCAAAGTATAAAACTTCATGGAGAATTTTCGCCAATGGACACTTGTTTTTGTTGCGGTTAAAATACCATGTTTGCACGCATGTCAGGCCGTGTAAGTGCTTGGGGTAACCTATATCCCTGTAAACAACGATTACGATCTTCAAGGTCACATACGATGACGGCAGTAGCTTCGTAGCATGTTACAAATACACTACAAAGCAGGGCGTAGATGTACTGTCCCGAAATCTTTATATTTGTAAAAAGGTGGATATTTTACTGTTAGGCGGTACCCGTGTAAAAACGGGCTTGAAGCCGCGAGTTTACTGTACATGGCCGCGGGTGAAGCCGGATCGAACAAACGTTTGGTTCGAATGACGTCATGTCGAATGTGATTCTGTTCGAAAAAAAGGTTGGAATATTTGGGCGCGGGGCCGGCCGGGCCCAAATTTGTTTGTTAAGTTTTGTACGGTTGTGTATATACTGTTTAATTGTGTGTACGTAATACTATGATCCAGGGCCACTCAGTGGTAATCACTGATGGGTGCCACCCTGGCAAAAGAAGACTTGACTTACTTGACTTAAGTCGGATGCCAGTCAGAAGACAGAAATAAATAAATAAATGAACAAATCTTGAATTTTGACCAATTACGTCATCAAATAAGTATTAATCATGCATAATTATTGATATAAATCATAATAAATTACATAAGATTTAAACACTGTAAGAAAGCATGTGTAACTATTATTACGGAATTTCAAAAAAATGACTGTCACAAACCTATTGCTATGGCAACACGAAAACTTCCAAAATTAATAACTGATATGAAATTGTTGCCAGGTATTTTTTAAAGATAACTAACCAAGGATGTGCTCCAGCGCATACCATTCAGACGCTATCCGACATCAAAGTTGGCGCGGGCATACCCCCCCCCCCCCAGGCTAGATAGGGTTAAAACTTAAAAGACAATATTTGATACATGGCGTTATATTACTGCGATGACAACGTTGTAGTGCCTGTAAGCTTTTACTATACCCCATTATTTGTGGGTAAAAAAGTAATAATTAATCCAATATTCTAAGAATGCATCAAAGCAACGTTGCATATTCGAAGCAGCTTCATGTTTCATTTAATGACTGGCCAGCAAGTCGTGAAAGTTGTGTGAGTGTACATGACCCATTCTGTTAGCTGTGAACATGGCTGTGCACTGTATACAGGATGCCATATTCTTGCCAGAAACATGTGTAACATTGAATAAATCTACCCGTAAATTACTGCACGACCAGCCCCCATCCCCACCCTGGGTAGTACTGGTCTCAACTATAGCACCGTGCTCAAAGAAATGGAGAAAACGAACTCTTGTTTCCTTGTTGTGTTCTGGGGGTGATTTTAAATTAGGACGTTGAGATGGTGCGTGCAAAACAGTGCCACTGTTTACACATGAGAAACATCCAATAGGCAAGTATTTGTCAGTGAAAATCCAATGGTAGAGGCGTGACGGAGGGGTATGACTGACCTTGGGAAAGTTTTATCTTTTTATGTTTGGAGGACCACGTTAACTAGCCATTTTATAAACGTGATATCACTCTTTATATCCAACGCACTTATCTAATTGCATACCATAAGTATCAAGTGGCGTGAAAGGGCTTTGTTTTCGGAAAGAGGCTTTCCGTTTTAAGTGTTACTTAAATTATAACCAACATTTACAACAGTAAACACTTCTGATATGCTATAATGAACTGCACTAATGGGGATCGAAATAAACAAACAAACAAACAAACAAACGGTATGTGACTTGTAAAATCTGTTGAAGCGGAATGCTCTGATGAAGAAGGGTTTTTCAGCCGGAAAGCCACGTCGAGAGTTCTATGCGTTTCTCTTTTCCTTCCGCGAGAGAAAGTAGTCCGTTCCACGGCTCCGGGCGTTGACTCGCCTCACAAGAAAGCTTACCGCGGGATTATACAATCACATATCTTCCTTATTGTAACTTATTAATAATATTTAGACTTCCTAATTTGCTCCCAATGAATTTTGGAGCCGAGAATGTACCTTTCCCCTTTCGATATCATGACCTGAAATTAGGCAATTATAGTGCAATTTCCTCGTGTATTTTCACCTTGATGCAGGTTTCGCACCAACAGGAAATTTGTTGGCTGAGAAAGAGCAAATCTTAAACTTTCTGATGATATTTGACTTATATTCAATTCCGAGTGCGAAACGGGTTTCCCCCGAAATTCGGTAAGGCCATGTCACGGGAGCAGGCAGGCAATTTTAGTGCAATTTCCCCGTGTATTTTCGCCTTGATGCAGATTTCGCACCAAGAGGAAATTTGTTGGCTGAGAAAGAGCAAATCTTAAACTTTCTGATAGTAGTTGACTTACTTTTGATTTCGAGGGAGAAACGGGTTTCCCCCGAAATTCCGTCAGGCCATGTTACGGAAAAAGGCAGAAATTTACACCAAATAGAACGCGCATCCCTGGCGCGCCGGTGTCTAAGCTACGTGTGTTCTACGGAGCGCGCTCCTCTCCTACATGTCCTATACATGACTAGCCTCCTTCGCAGTCTTGTTGGGCGTGGGCGTAATTTTTTTCTCTGAGCGACGCGAGTAATATGCGGCCGCGAGGGACGATTTGCTGCCAAGGGAATTTTGCCACGGAGAGAAGGTTTCCGCGCTCCAACAACTACTTTTAGTTAGACCACACTGGGTGTTAATTCATCTCATATCTAAACAGGTTCCTTTGATTTTGCACTGAGAATATATGTTTCTGAGCTGGTCCCTTGATAGCTACGGCCGATCTGAAAACTCGAAACCAGCGTCTGCCTAAACGCAGGGAAACATTATACTCTCGTAGCTTCCTGACTTTTGAAAAATTAATTATAGCAAGCGGACCATTAGAACTAGAATACCTCACACATTGATTTATGATTGGGGTAATTCAAAGAATAATAATTGTATCCGTTTTTCTCGATTTGAATGGCACTGGGTTTAAACAGTTACTTTAGAAAAGTTACATGTATCCAACTGCTGGTTCAGTAAATTGTAGCCTATGGAAGATAACCCAACAATTCTGGTCCCCAGTCAGGGCAGTGCAACATGTACATTGTATGTTGTGATTATTGGTAAGTTTATCCTGGATTTGTTATATCCAATCTACATGTATAGTCCATGTGTACTGTTTACTGTTACAGTAATGAGATAACAGGTCCTCATGTCCCTAGTTTTACAGAGTAGCACTTGTTTATTTCTAAAAGTGCTGGGCCTTGGGAAATCCCTAAACATATCTCTCTCACATACATGTTAATTGTCCTTTATATTGATTAATCAATTATACACAAAATTACCATAGAGCCATTAAGGTTGCTTTAACATTTATCTCATTACCAAATAACGAAGTAGTACATTTTGTTGTGGATTGGGATATCAAATACTTAGGATATCAAAGTCTCATTACATTGTGGATCTTTTACAGTACATATATATTACTTAACACATGCTTGAAAGTTAGAGTAGACATTGGATGCTGAATCGAATATTAAATACGCTCCCAAATTGTATTAACATTACAATAAACAAAATAAATGGGAATTAAGATCTCTGTACATAATACATCTTATATATATATCCATAATCTCAAGCTAAATATAACATCCTGGTATCCTGCTGGTGACAATCCTGTTGGGCATGGCTTTCACCTGCAAGATGGAAGAATAAGAAAAAATCATTAAGGATGATATAACACCAAATTAAACCCAATTCACTCATTAATCAACATCAGAGAATTCTGAATCTGAAATGTTATTCAATGCAGACAAGCTGCCTATGTAAATGTCATCTATGAAATTAACATCCTGATCCTCACTAGTTAAAAGTCTTTCCTGAATCAGAATCATCATGAATTTCCCAATTTTGATCAATATGGACTAAATTAAAATATTCAGAATGAAATGTTGAACTTGGCATAGAAGAAATAAGTAATTTAGATTTGGACTGTACAGCTTGTATAGAAATCCCAATCCACCTACTAGGACTTCCAGTAACAGTTGCATAGGGGCTACCACTATTTATATTGTCTACTGTATTGAAGTTGCAGTAAAAGAACCTTTTGTCAAGCTATGCAAACTCTTCCAAAGTCAATTTATCCAAAACCCCAGAAATAAATGTTTATGAGAATCACTAAAATAACTCTCACCAAGGCAATTTCAGAGTTAATTGCATTAAATCATCAGATTGGCTATAGGAATAAATCAATGCATAATTTATCATATGAAAAGGATAACTACACTGGCCTTCAGAGACAAAAAAATTATGGAAGACGTGAAAAGTCTCCTAAAAATTAGAGCTATAATTAATAAAGAAATGTCCAAAGTTTCAAAATCAGAAAAAGAAATTTCATACTTTTGCATAGTTAACACAACAATAAAATTGCAAACAACAGGATTTGTTTCTTTAGAAATTTGGAACAAGTCAATTTCATGCTGGGGGTTGGTATTTATCAAATTTGGAGGATTCTTGATGAATAATAGTATTCATATATAAAAGGATGGCCAGGTGCCAGAATTGATACTATCCTTTAAATCTTTTAGCATAGAGGCAAAACTAGACTCTTGATCATATTTTGGAGAGTTAACTCTTGCAGAATACAATACTAAATGAAGGGATTCTATAATATCACAATAACTATAGTATAACATTAAACTATGTTTGGTTTCAGAACTTTTGTGAACCAAAATAAAGTTTCTTTAATCATTTAAGTCCAACCACAGTAGAATGTGTCATAATCAGTACATTACTTTGACTTTTACATTAAAATCTTTTCTTTAACTTGTTAACATTTCTACATAAAGATCACAGGCATCCACAAGAAGTATTGGTTTACTTTCGAAAAAGATTTCTCCAACCTTACAAGAAACCTGGTGCAATGCTATTTGAGGTAGATTTTAGGGGCTAGGGTCTTCCTCAAACTCCAACACTAGCACAATTTTGTTCTCACTTTTATTCTTAGTTATATATCTGTATTGGTTGTACTTGTTTAGTGTTAAGTGTCAAGTGGGGCTGTTATCAAAGTAAGTGATTGTATAACCTGAGTGCATTCCCACTTTGTCCTTGTCCTTGAACTTTTTCTTTAAATTTTCCTACTAATTTTTTTAAAGATGCCAGGAGAGAGTTTGACATGGTTTGCCAGGTACTTACCAATTTTACAGTCGGTGAAGCCTAGGATGATCTGAAACAGAAATAAAAATTCCTCTTGAAATCTTTTTCCTAATTCAATACTGAAATGAATGTTAGCTTTATTTTAATAATCAATGATATACATGCTCAACCATTTATAATTTTTACAAATGTCACAAGCTGCATATAAATATGTATATTGTGCACTGTTTTTTTTTAATATCATCGAGCACTAGATAGAAGGTACAATACTTGTCTTGCTGTAACTTTAGACACTATGACAAGACATTGTAACAATTTGCAGCAGTCATGCAACTTTGTTGTTCTTGTATGACAACCAGACATCACGTGATAAAGTTGGCGGGAATTTTTTGCACAAACACACACAGAAGGGATGATTTCTGTTACAAAGTTCGTGATCGATCAGACTCAACTACAACATTAACTACAGTATTTAGAATTCAATCTGTCCTCGTAAAGATCTAACGACTAAGAGTTTGGGTCTAAACTTAGACTAGATTAGTTCACCGGAAACGATTTTACCACTAACATGATGTTTACAAGAAGTGAAGCGCATATACGCAAATCATTCAACATTGACCGAAATGAAGTCAAACGACAAACGATGAGGTTTAGCCATAAAATTGCAGAAAAAAAGTGACCCCAGTTGGCATGGAATTGCAAATATATGCAGACTTCGCACCAACAGGATATTCATAATGGGAGAAAGCCAAAGGTTCAACACATTTTATCCACATATCGTCATATGCAAAATCAAGTGCGAAACGGGTTTCCCCCGAAATTCAAACGAGACGAAAATTCAGATCAGTCCAGGGCGGCCATTTTGTTCATTTCACCGTACACCGAGTTTGATCAGAAAACTACACTAAAACTCATAGAATACCCCTCAAATATGGTTAGTACAGAGAGCACATGATATACACGTCTGATACGTACCGCCATCTTGATGCAGAGGCCGAAACTGGTGATGTAATCGGCTGTCAACAACTCGGATGAAATTTCAGCCCGCCGCCCGCGAAAATGTCGTCCTTAGCAACGGCGTTGCTATGGACGGCGGAGTGATACGCTCTGCAAAGAAAACTCGTTCGAAAAGCGTTCGATTCAGTACGTGGCTTTCCGGCTGTTTTGTCAACAGAACACTGACATGACTTGCCCTATTCAATACGCTGATATGTTTTGCCGTAGTGTTTCAGCAAGTTTATGATGGAACCATGCGTGATAGCAGCAGATATTTACCAGTTTCCTATTCCCAGTATGCATAGCGCCAGGAGGCCGGCAATGTGAATTATGTTGCACCCTGGGAATGGGAAAGGATGAATGGTGACTTTACTACATCGGTATTTCTTCCTCGACAGTATATGATTGCGTCTTCCTTGATGGTCTTGTAATACAGTCTAATACATATAGAATACTAGACGGTGTATTCCGTATCGCCAAGGTACCAGCCCGACCGCGGGTCGGATTGCACTTCGCACTATGGAACGCACGATGGAACATTTGGAAGCCCAGGCCGTACGCGTATAAAACCCCGGGCCGCACGGGTCGTTATCACATCACGATGGTCAGATTTGGGCCCAAAAGTCCCACTCCGCTACTATGGAGATCGAATCCCCCGAACCCGCGAATCTTGTTCGATATGACGTCATTCGAATAGAGCGGGCGTTCGATCTGGGGTTACCCGCGGTCATTTACAGTAAAGCCGCTACAACCGGCTACTTCAAGCCCTTTTTTACTTTGGAAGCACGGAACAGGAAAAATCCACCTTTCCACAAATATGAACCGTTTTCAAAACATTACATCTATGCCGTGATTTTATTGTGGATATGTAACATGTAACGAAGCTACTGCCGTCATCGTGGGTGACCATGAAGGTCAGAATTCTTGTTGACGCTGTTATAAAATCCAGGTCCCCATATCCAAGTGGCACAGCATGCGTGCAAACATGGTATTTTAACCATTCCCAAAAATCTCTCAAATTACCTCATTGAGGGCTTGTTTGGAAGAGGAATGATTTCCGCAGATTTCTGTCTTAGGGATTTTTTAAATATGGCCGCGATTATGAATTATCGGTATTTAAAGTTAAAACACTGCGTTTTTAGCTCTTCTTTTGACTGTAAGTCGAGTTTTACTTAAAAATTTTTTTTATCATACCCGGGCCGCGATAACGTTCGATAACGGGTTCCGGACCCGTCCCGAACCCGTTATCGAACGCTTCCATGGCTTCCATAAAACGCGTGTGCCCCTTTCGAAAATTCGAATACAGAATGCAGACGTTGGAATGGATGTCGTTGCATTTTAGGGTTTAGCGGTACCAACTTTTGGCTCATCTTGCATTGAAAGGCGTGTTTATACTGTAAAATATATAATGTTTACACTGTAAAATAATGTTAGCCGCTCAAAATTATATATTAGAAACAAAACGATTCTAACTGTATGTGTCTTCTGGGATGGGAGGTTTGTTACTCACGCGAGGTCTCATGTATATTTAAATGTCTTGTAAAATATTTTTCTTTCATTGTAAAAGTGGCTGCGAGAATATAAGTTGTACCTAACTTGAGTTCGCAGCCACTTAGTCCATGTCTTTTCATTTGTAATCATCACTTTGTTTCTAAATAAAAAAAGGCGTGTTTTCTTGGACATGGCCGCCCCGCGAGTCGGATCCGACCCGCGGTTGGGCCGATACCTCGGGCGATACGGAATACCCCGTGTTGTATTCTATATGTATACCTCGCGCTCGTACCATCGCCCATGCGAGTATGTTTACGTACCTGTGAACCTACAACTTCTGACTCGCGCTGAGTAGAATTGTTGCCACCTGTAACAAAGTCGCCCGCAGAACTCTTCCTCGACTTTTACGAACCCAAAAATGTCCAGACAGTGACGAGGAATCGCACCGTGCTCGAGAAAATGGACAAAACGAACCCTTGTTTCCTTGTTGTGTTCTGGGGGTGATGTTGAATTAAGGCGTTCAGCTGGGCGTGCAAAGCAGTGTCACAAGTCACACACCGTGCCATCCATTAGCGTAGGGGAACTGTTTACTTCTGTGAAAGGTTAAACGTACCTGTGAACCTACGACTGACAAAGAATCACACCGTGCTCGAGGAAATGGAGAAAACTAACCCTTGTTTCCTTGTTGTGTTCTGGAAGGATTTTTAATTAGGGAGTTGAGGTGGAGGATGCAAAGCAGTGTCACAAGTCACATACCGTGCCGCTCATTAGCATATGGGAACTGCTTACTGTTTTAAAAGGTTGGTTCAACATACACCGGAAAAAGATTGCCTCTTTCCGAAAACAAAGCCCTTTTACGCCTCTTGATACTTACTCTTGATACTTACGATTATAGATAAGTTCGTTGGATATAAAGACTGAAATCACGTTTGTATGGCTAGTTAACGTTGTCCTCTCAACATAATGAAAGAAGATAGAATTTTCTCAAGGTCAGTCATATCTCCCGTCACGCCCCTACCCTACATACCTACCTGGATTTTCACTGACAAATGCTTTCCTATTGGACGTTTCTCGTGTGTAAACAGTAAAGATCTGTTAAGGTCTCGGACCGGAGTTTCCCTCCGTATTTCGAGCAATTTGACACCCTCAGCCCGACGGGCTGTCATTTCTGTACTAAACGCGGGTCGGAATTTTTCACTCTTTTGGTGGAAAGGGGTGCCGTGCCGCTTATCAATACACTTGATTGATATTTTCTGCGCCCAATTTATTTAGGGGTAAATAAGGCACATCAAAGTACATTTTTAAAAAAGGGGTAATTTTTTTCGTCATTTTTAACCACGGCTGCATGGAAAAAACGAATTTTCCCAGGGTAACGGCTTAGTACTTGAAGAAGCTCAGAACCTAATGTTTCCAAAATTTGAATTTAATTAAAATCGATGCGATAAGTTTATCGCTATCTTCGATGGCCCGAACACACCCATAACGCATATAGAACGTACAATCCCGGCGGTCAGGCGAAAAGGCCACATAACCATCCGCGCGGACGAATACCAGGAAGTCTTCGCTGGACCACCAACATTACGCCACCTATAAAGGCTACAACTAACAGGCTTTTCAGAAAATACAAATATATGTACACAGATATTACGATTTCAGGGATATCGCGGCCAAAACAATACCATTCAAAGTCACGTTTCCGGCGATTTACTGCGCACTTACTTAGACTCTGGTCAGAATTAAACTCCGACCCGGAACCTTAAAGCGGAATGCACTTATAAAGAGAATACAGAGGGTCAGTTTTTTTGGTCAACAGAACTTTGACATGACTTGTCCTATTAAATACGTGATCACACATTTGCTGATATGTTTTCCCCTAGGGTTTTAGCAAGTTTATAATGGAACCATGAGTGACTACAACAGATATTTTTTTGGATTTTCTATACCCAGTGTGCATAGCGCCAGGAGGCCGGCGTTGTGATTTATATTGCATCCTGGGAATGGAAAAGGGTTAATGGTGACTTTACTACATTGGTATTTCTTCCTTGACAGTATATGGTTGCGTCTTCCTCGATGCACTCGTAATACATATAGAATACTGCACGGTGTATTCCGTATCGCCCAAGGAACCAGCTCGACCGCGGGTCGGATCGCACGGCGGCCAAAGAAAAAACGCACTACGGAACTTGAAAAACCGGGCCATACGCGTATAAAACCTCGGGCCGCACGGGTAATTATCACATGGACCGAAACACCTGTATCGAACGTAATTGCGGTCCAGGTATGACACAAAATGCATTCTCTTTTGTTACACCAACGGAACGGATCGGAAAAAAAATCTATTAAAGATAAAGGTATACAGTCATATATTATGCAGAGTACACATTTTCTTCTGATATTCTGACTGTCTCTGCTATTAGATTATATACCTCCCTCTTGCGCTGGCGCCAAAGCCCATAGAAGTATGTTTACGTACCTGTGAACTTACAACCACTGAGTCCCTCTGAGTAGTGCTGTTGTTACATGTAGCAAAGTCACCTGCAGAAACTTTTATCTCGACTTTGATGAACCCAAAATGTCGAGACAGTGACGAGGAATCGCACCGTGCTCGAGGAAATGGAGAAAACGAACCCTTTTTCCGTGTTGTGTTGTGGGCGTGATTTTGAATTCGGGCGTCCAGGTGATGCGTGCAAAGCAGTGTCAAAAGTCACACACCGTGCCATCCATTAGCATAGGGGAACTGTTTACTTCTGTGAAAGGTTAGATGTACCTGTTAACCTACAACTCAAGACGTGCGTTGAGTAGTACTGTTGTCGCCTGCAGAAATCTTCTTGACTTTTACGAACCCAAAAATGTCCAGACAGTGACGAGGAATCGCATCGTGCTCGAGGAAATGGAGAAAACTAACCATTGTTTCTTTGTTGTGTTCTGGGGATGATTTTGAATTAGGGCGTTCAGTTGGTGCGTGAAAAGTAGCGTTACAAGTCACATAACGTGCGGTTCGTTAGTATATGGGAACTGTTTACTGTTGTAAAAGGTTGGTTATAATTTAACATACACCTGACAATGACTGCCTCTTTCCGAAAACAAAGCCCTTTTACGCCTCTTGATGCTTATTGTTTGATATAGCTACGATTATAGAAAAGTGCGTTGGATATAAAGATTGATATCATGTTTACATGTACATTGCTAGTTATGGGTTCACCACACCACGAAGTGGTGTGGTGAAACCATATTGCTTTTTCTGATGTTTCTTCTTCTTCTCCTCCTTCTCCTGCCATTTTTTAAATGGATTCAGCTTCTTCATTTTAGGGCCTAAGGTCCTGAAATTTGGTATGGAGGTACAGTGGGCAAATACCCCTAGGCGTTTTTTAAATTATTGTGATACAGGCTTTTAGAATGGTTTTATTTGAGTTTTTTGGCTGTGTTATAGCAAATGTATTACTGTGTTAGTTTGCCTTGTTTACCACGTTTGGGCATGAGTCATCGCAATGGAATGCAGGGCATCAACCAATAGGCATGCAGCTTTCCTCTATACTTCTTGCTGATTGGCTGTTGGGATTTAACTTGATTAACACCTGCACAGAAGCATTTCCATACTGACAGTATGTCTGTATTCAAGTGTTTTGGTAGGT